ACCCACGCTGAGAACTGAGAGTCTTGCACATCAAAATAGTCTTAGCTCAGATCTCCCGCCCCTCTCCTCGGGGTTACATCTCAAAAATAAGGACACCCTCTTCTTTCTGCAAGGAAGTCATGTCTCATGCCTACCCATACTGGTATTTCAAGGGTTATTTCACCAACGTGGAATGCTCTGCAAGATAAGCCTCCTTTATACACTGAGATTTACTATGGGGAAACCTTTTTATCCCGGGTCGGTGGCCGCTGGCATTAACGCCTCTCTACCTATTACAGCTGTCCGCCAGCGAAAACCTCACTTCAGGCTTCCAGTTCTCATTTGCATCCAGGGTAAATCAGTTCCTTCTACGACAACTGCTGACACTACCGAGAGGGAGAGGAGCCCAAGGCTGCTGCCCCCAGCGCGAGCACACAGCTAGGCACAGCACGGCCAGGGCAGGGACCAGCGGCTCTTGGGCAAGCTCTGGTTCTGCCGGCCGACTGGCCGGGCTTGACTTACCCACATGCCTTGTCCGAGTGCACTCCTGGTCTGACTCCCTGCCTGCCTGCCTTAGTCTGCTGATGTGGCAAGGGCTTTTTGGGGAATCCAAGCATTCTTCCCAGAGACAGAGAGTGGGACAGGGGTGAAACGTGTTTACACATTTTATTCTTTCTCAGCACAGGAGGAAAAAAAACAAGACTCAGTTTTTACAGCGTGCTGAACCTTGATGCCACACTCCTGTGAGAGCTGATGGCAGAGCCCTCCTGCGTCGCTTATCTCCAGGAGGAATTCCTCACTGACCCAGGGGACACCTCACATCTCTGCTGTGGCCGAGAGCACCAGCACACCCCGTCCCACGTGCCACTGGCAGGCGAGACCTCAACCGCTGCCTGGGCTCAAGGACGGGGCTTGACTTCCCCTGGGTGTAACGTGCATGTCCTGGTTTCTGGGCACATGTTCACCTCGGTGCAACTCTGGGTACACACAGGTTTTGTATGTGCCTGAGAGAAAGCAACGCGCTGTGCCCAGCTGAGCCGTGGTCTCTCTCCTGAACCCATTAACTTTGCCAGGATTTCAGAGTCATTCAAGCTGACCAGATGAGAGCAGAATAAAAATATTTTCAACTCAGACCTGTCATCATCTCTGGACTGTCAATAAATCTGTCTGGTCTGTCCTTCAGCTGAAGGTTCACTGGGAAGAGATGGCTTTTTTCTGATGTGTGGAGCTGCACACAAAAAGCAAATAAACAAAAGCTTAGGAAATTCAGTAATATAAAAGGTTCCGTAGGCACACTACACGGAGTAACATTCCTCATGAGGCTTCTCTGACCACTGCTCCTCAGTACAGAAGGGTCTCATCTTTAGCACAGAGAAAGAGAGGGAAGGCTGTTTTCTATTTTAATTGTTTTGCTGAGGTCCCAACGAAGGGCATCGGGGCACACCGCAGCGAGAGCAGAGCCCTGGCTTGCTGCTATTTTTAGTAGAAACGGACAGGAAAACTAACAGACTGGCCAGTCTGCACATTTTCAGTGCTGGGCTACACTACAGAGTTTTTCGGGTGACATGATGGGAAAGCGCTCCTCTCCAGTTTCTACTCGCAACATTCCCTTCAGTGGAAGCCCAAACGTTTGCTGCATCTGAGAGGTGCGGTCTGCCCTCCAACCATGACACACACCGAAAAAAAGTGCCCGAGCATTTTCTCAGGCCAATTCCTAGTTCAGAATAAAGGCTACAGAAATAGCAGCACTGAAAGGTGGACAAATTTTTTGCCTGAACTGAACTCTTCCCATTTAGAAAGGTAAACAAGCAGCTCCTTCCCAAACCCCAGGGGAGCAGGGGCTGGAGCCACTGCAGATACCCGCGGAGCAGGCATCGCAGCATCGGCGACTCAGGATCGCTCTTCCAGCGCCAGCACAGGCACAGAGCCTCTTGCCGGAGGGGTGAACCCGGTCTGCACTTTTTTCAGCTGGAAGCGGAGGGAGGGAGGAGGAGAGGCGGTGTCCCAGCTGCCGGGTGGGAGGTTGGGGGCAAGACCCTCCCTGCCCCAGACCTACCCCGCGCCGTGGGGGAAACAGGGGCTGCCAGCCTCACCCCTCGACTCACCAGCACGTGTACGCACTCCACGGCAGAGGAGTTCACCCACCGGGCTTCAAACGTCCTGTCTGTCCCAAAATGGCACTCCAGAGCCGTCTCCTGGGAGAGGGAAGACAAGGGCAGAACGGCTGCAACAACCGTTCTGTGCAGGTCTCTGACTCAGTCGGCCAATACGGCAGGC